ATTTCTTTGCATATCTGACAGTGTAACATTTAAGCAGAAGTATTTCGAATGAGTTAAACCTGTATCCTGTTTTCTGAGTAACATTGAGAATATCACTATATATTGTTGCAACACCTCCGCCACGACCAGTCTGACGGGGCTCATGCTTATAACAGTAGCTTGGTGGAGTCATTTAGACCAATATAATAATTTGGTTTTAGCCAGGTTTCAGTCAAGCAGAGTACATCAAAACTATTATCTGTGATCATTTCATTTGCAATAACTGTTTTGGGTGTGAGTGATCTAATGTTTATGAGCCCAAACTTAAAAATTTTGACCTCCCTGTTTGGGGAACAGACACAGTCTTTATAGATTGGACAGCGCAAGTACTTCTATCATTTAAGCGGGTAGAACAAAAGCCATCTTAGCAGTTATTTGAGAACTAGTCATATAGAGCACCGCGTCCTGGAGGTGTTGTCCGACAGGAGTTCCGCTCCGACTCTGCTGGGGTGCAGGCCATCAGCAAGAAAAAGCCTAGGATGCTCCCAGAAAAGATTTCAATTATTAACAAAGAACAGTTTGTTCTTTACACCATGACAATATCATTTCATTTAAAGCAAAAAGTCTACTGAACCTTTCGTGCCCTCGTCGATACGTGGGAAGCGGCCCTGACACGATGATCGTCGTCGCGATCAGGCTCCTGAAGTGCCTCTTCAGTATCTCTGTCTGCCGCAGCTTAGTGTCGTTAACCCCGGTGTGAAGCACGACGGCTCCGGGGCTCTCGTCGCACTTCAGGATTGCGGGTATCTGCGCAGAAACATCGAGAACATGAGCACCAGGGAAACAGTGAGTGTGCACTTTACCTTCATCAGGGAAGATAGCGTCCTGGGTGCACTGGACCTGTGCAGGGAAACACACGGTGTAGAGGTGGTGGGACTGTTAGCAGCGCACTGTATACTTACACCGGACTTGTGAGCATCAGCCCGGGATGTTTCCAGTGCGGCTCTCTGCTCCCTCAGCTGGGCCTGCTTCTTCACCAGGTCACGAATCTGCTTCTCCATGCCCTCCAGATGGCCTTCAACGTGTCCTCACCTGCACTCAAAGGTAGACATCAAGACATCCGCCATTAAAGCAAGTAACAGTGAGTAAAACAATGGTAATGTGTGTGAATATTAATATAATAAGTATATATATAATAAGTATTAGCAATGTACGCGAGATTAGCGGCAACCACGCTGGCGACGCTAACGGGCTATAAGCTAATAGTGGACTCAGGAAATCAAAATAAAACTAGTGATGATAGCAATGCGCTCTGATTGTTTTTGTTGTAGAATAGGATAGAGGATATATTCACACGTTATAGAAACGAAAATTATGGTATATAAAATTGATTTTAAGATAAAAAATATACGATAAAGAATTCACTTGACGGAGCTCAAGCTCAAAACACACGGCAGCAACAAATAGTTAGTCAATATTTAGTCAATATAACACAGATTTTAGTATAATTGCTGGGGATTTTGATTGTTGCATGAATGGCAGCTTAGACAAATCTGCACTGTCCGTTTCCAATCCCAATGCATCAAAGGTCTTAAAAACAGCCTCCAAAGATGCAGGCCTCGTTGATGTATGGAGGGAGTTTAACCCTTCAGTTAAAGATAATACCTTTTACTCTGCAAGACACAAAACCTACTCTCGATTAGACTATTTCCTTCTACCTCAAGCTTATCTCTCCTCTGTGACCTCCTAATGTATATGATTATATCAGACCATGTTCCAATTTACCTTCGGCTATTCCTGCATCAACAGTTACATTCAACCAGATACTGGAAATTTAATTCTTCACTTCTTACAGATTGTCAGACTTTGTTCGATGTCTCTGTTGTGTTTTCCTCCCCCATGTGCTCCAGGTTAATGTTTATGCCCATATTTGGTTTTTCCTGTTCCTATTCCCATTTAGTTCTGTTTCCAAATAAATGAGTCCCATTAGTTTCTGTTTATATAAAGTGTGTTTTGCCCCTTGTTTCCTGTCTGCTGTCGAATATCATTTTGTGTCCTCAGTGTATCCCGTGTCTCTGTATTCCCAGCTTTTGTTTATTAAATCTTTGAAATTTACTTTATTCCTTGTCTCCGTGTTTGTTCCTTTGCTCCCCAGTGTGTGTGTGTCGTAACAGAACAGTGGACTGAAACAGTAAGCGGCGCTCCTTCTCCCATGTTTTGTTTTCGTTTTGAATAGTCCTTTATTTTCTTTAGTTTCTCCTGTGTTTTCCCCGTGGTATGAGAATCGCCCTGCTGTCAAGCATGCCGGCCGCGCCATTGTGAAGCTTGAAGACAAGCCCGCTGGCTGCTGGCTGCTCAGAAGTCAAGCTCGCCGGCCGCACCGTTGTCATGCCCGCCGGCCTCTCTGAAAGACAAGCCCGCCAGCCGCGCTGTTGTCAAGTCTGTTGGCAACGGCTCCCACAAGCCCGCTGGCCGCTCCAGAGTTAAGTTTGCCGGCCACTCCGAAGTCGAGCCCGCCGGCCGCTACCGAGTCAAAGCCGCCGGCCGCTCTGAAGATAGGCCCGCCGGCTGCCTCAGAGCTCGCTCCAGTGTCGTCTCCAGCCCCAGAGCTCGCTCCAGTGAGGGCTCCTGCTCCCGAGTATAGCCCATGGAGGTCTCCTGCTCCCGAGTATAGCCCACAGAGGGCTCCTGTTCCAGAGTAAAGCCCACGGAGGGCTTCTGATTCCCATCGAGCCCAGGGAGGGCTCCTGTTCCCGAGTATAGCCCACGGAGGGATCTTGTTCCTGAGTATAGCCCACAGAGGGTTCAGCGGACTGAGCAATTGAAGAAGGAACTTATTTACTTAGAACAAATTCCCAGACATTCACCTACAGAGGTAAACTTGAAGAAGCTTAACACTGTCAGAAATTATCTTAATTTACTTCAGATTGAGCATGCTAAAAAACTTCTATCTTCAACTAGGCAACACTGTCATAATTACTGTAATAAATGAAGTAAGCTCTTAGCCTATCAACTCAAAAGGGAGCATGTTGAACGCCAGGGCAACTAAAGTATGATATGCAATCAATCAAGTCCTCTTTTAATGTTTTTTACAAACAGTTCTACACATCAGAAAATACCTCTGAGACAGATATTCATTCATTTCTAGAAAATATATATTTGCCCTCATTGTCAGAAGAAGACAGGGAGCAGTTGAACTCTCCTTTTACTCCAGAGGAGGTATTTGAAGCAATCTTGTCTCTCCCCTCTGGAAAATTGCCAGGCCTAGACGGATATCCCGTTGAATTATATAAGATCTTCTGGCCTCAAATTGAGCCTTTGTTTATGCCCATAATTGCAGATTTTGTGCAAAATGGAACTCTTCCTGAAACAATGTGTACAGCTGTAATATCACTAATACAAAAGAAAGATAGGGATGCTGCTGATTGTGCCTCTTACCATCCAGTTTCACTGCTCCCTGTTGACGTTAAGATAATATCTAAATTATTTGCTCGTAGGTTAGAAGATTTAATGCCCCAGCTTTATAAAGGCACAAAATGCCCCTGATAATATTCAAAGGCTACTGAACATAATTGACCACTCGACTCTGCTCAACCAACCAACATTGGTAATATCTTTGGACACAGAAAAAAAGTTTGACAGGGTCGAGTGGTCATATCTATTCTCAGTATTGAAGAAATGTAACTTTGGTGATAGATGCATTGGGTGGATAAAATCTATGTATAGTGGCCCACAGAATCAGAATCAGAATCAGAATTAGTTTTTATTGCCAGGTATGTTTACACATACGAGGAATTTGTTTTCATGACAGAAGCTCCACAGTGTAACAGAATGACAGTGACAGAACAAAAACACAGATAATAAAAAATAGAAAAATAGAACAAGTAACTAAGGAATAAAAATATACAAATCGACAATTGTATGTACAGGTATATAACAATAGACAGTTGTATGTACAGGTATATTATGTGCAAATTGAAATGTAGACTGAGTGTGTGTGTTAGATAAATAAGTGTATGAGTGAATAAATAGTGTGTGTTCCACAGTTATTGTCAAGTGTTCATGAGATGGATGGCCTGAGGGAAGAAACTGTTCCTGTGTCTGGTCGTTCTGGTGCTCAGAGCTCTGTAGCGTCGACCAGATGGCAACAGTTCAAAGAGGGAGTGTGCTGGATGTGAGGGGTCCAGAGTGATTCTGCCAGCCCTTTTGCTCACTCTGGACGAGTACAGTTCTTGGAGAGAAGGGAGGGTTGTACCAATGATTCGCTCAGCAGTCCGGACTACCCTCTGAAGTCTTCTGAGGTCAGATTTGGTAGCTGAGCTGAACCAGACAGTTATTGAAGTGCAGAGGACAGATTCAATAATGGCGGAGTAGAACTGTTTCAGCAGCTCCTGTGCAGCTCCAGGCACAAATATGTGTAAATAGCCATTTTTCTGAGAAGTTTGGCCTACAAAGGGGCTGTCGACAGGGTTGTCCCCATTTAATTTAGACATCAAATGGCTTGCAGAAGCTATATGGACCAGTAAAGAGATTATAGGAATTGACATCGGTAAGATAAATAACAAAATTTCTTTGTAAGCAGATGATATAATTTTGTATTTATCAAATCCAGAAAACAGTTTCCAGTATTGCTCGATTTAATGAATAAATTTGGGAAGATATCAGGATATAAAATTTATTTAACAAAGTCTAATGCCTTTTCTCAGAATATGTACATTTTCAGTAAATTAAAGACCATTTCACCCTTTAATTGGGCCCAGAATGGACTCAAATAACTTGGGGTAAAATACCTTCCTTTCTCACTTCTTGGAAGTATTAATGTGATAAAAATGAATATACTCCCACGACTTGAAACTTAACACATACACATATAAAGTTGTCAAACTCAACTGATAAATTATGGCAATAACAGCAAAGCCATGAGTGCAATTTCCTGGAAATACCTATACTGATCAAATGTATGCCTTGAATGTATTGTATGTGATTTTGGATAAAAGTGTGAATGAGAATACTTTCTATGATTAGTACAACATAGGATTGTCATTTTTGGGGGCCCAAGCTAATTTTGTATTTGTCTTTTTTTATAGTCACCTTTTCTCAGTGCAGAAACTCTTATATTCAAGGTTCTTGATCAATTTTGATTAAGTGCAAATTTGCTTTTTTCTTCAAAAAACATAAAGCTTTAAGAATTTTAGAAATAAATAGAAGTCTTTTAATAAAAAGTGCATAAAGAAAAAAAAAGGTAATAGGTAGGTAAAGGTAAAATTAATGTCATATATTCTGACATATTACATATTATTCCCCTTGAACTTAAATTCTTATTTCAATCATTACCTAGTCTCAGCCTCAGACGTCACGCTCACGGACCGTTGGCTGAACGTCTGGCCTGCGTTCAGCCCCGACAAAACGGTGCAAAACGTTTTTAAACGGAAACGGTGGTGCATTGAACACACTGTTCTGATGACGCAAGAGTTGCAACTATGGCAGCTGAGAAGGCCATTCTTTGTGTTCTTTTTGAAGAATTTTCAGAGCCTGATGAAATCGGTATAAATACGTGTTTAATACTGCAAAATATGCTCGATGGTACAGTCACTGCCCTTGCCGTCCAGAATAAAAGAGAATATCCCAATTGAGTGAAGGGATTTGTGGAAACTGTGGTTCCTAATTATTGTGATCCAACATTTGCCTCGCATCAGGATGAAAAGACTAACATTTCAGGTGAAGGATAATCCACTTCTTACCTCCAAGACTGTGCTATGATCTATATGACCTTTTTATTTTTATTGTGAGTATTCGGCTTATCATTATTGCTGAAAACTGTTGTTGTGCTATGATATTGTAATATTTACCTTTATATAATCAGAGGGGTATAGAAAAGTTTAAGAAAGTGTCACTCCATAATACAATAGCAAAATATATAAATATGTATAGTATTTTTATGTTACGTTAATCAGTATTTAGTCTGATTCATACGGCACACAAAATCGGAAGCACTTCAGAAGTTTCAAGGTCGTCATTGGATTGGTTGATTTATATAGGATTTCCGGGAGACGTGCGTGTCACGTTCTTTAATGCTCTGCCTGGAAACAAATATGCCGTGATGCCAAACCCCCTCATGTTAGAAGAAAGCCGTCGTGTTTACAACTGTGACAATGATCACTTATCAGGATCAACTAAACCTGGATTTTCAAAAGTATGTGAAATATTTAAAGTTCGCAGCATAGAATCTTTAAACTACATCCAAGAGTTTTACACACGGTCTTTTACTGTGGGGACATTTCCACATCCCTAAACATGATGTGGCACAAAACAAAACGTGATTGGTTGCTTTACCTGTCAGTCATATGGCCTCTTGCCATTCAAAGCGGACAAGGTTCCCAGACCTTCTGACGTCAGTCTGAAGGTCTGGCTACGCGAGACCAATCATTACCCTTGACACTTGAACAAAAATTTTTTAAGTCCATAAATAAATCAATAAGCTCATTTATTTGGAAGAATTCAACACCCCGGATATCCTTTAAAACATTAACTAGAACCAAAGAAAAAGGTGGATTGAGTCTCCCTGACCTTTAGCTGTACTATTGGGCCGCTCAGACAAAAGGTATGATTAACTGGATACATGAACGTAGAACTGCTCACTGGACAGATATTGAAGAAGACCTCTATTCTCCTACGCCTCTGATCGCTTTACCTTTTATTAACAACATTAACGCATTACATTCAGTGACACGAACTTATGTTGTTTATAATATACGTAGAGCCTGGCAAGATGTAGAGGTTTTGTGGATGTTTTGCTAAAAGTTCTAGTTTAGCTCCTCTATCCTCCAATCCAGACCTGCCGTCCACTCTTGGAAAATCTCTGTTTAAAAGGTGGAAGGAATATGGAATAAATCAGTTTCAACGTTTGTTTACAAACTGTTCCCTTAAGTCCTTTTCAGATTTAACTACAGAGTTCAAGATTCCAAGACAGGAGTTTAATAAATATTTGCAGATTTGTCACATGAGAAGTACTTTTGATAAGGCTTTCACAGGAGTGATCTAGGATAGAGGAGATCCTGATGAATTCAACAACACTAAAAAGGAAAATCTCTGACATATTCTGCGCTGTTAGATCATCAGGATCCCCCCCTGGCCTCACTTAAAAATATGTGGCAAAGGGAACTTGGGTGTAACTTTGATGAAGACCAGTGGGGGTCGGTGTGTAAGAATGTTTTACCCCATTATCCTTTAACAAAATCACAGAACATAATTATACATTTATGCATAGGATGTTATTCACCCGCTTCATCTGAGTGAAATGTACCCTAATGTATCACCTAGGTGTCGCCGATGTAAAACATATATAGGATCAATTATGCACATCTTCTGGGAATGTAGAAAACTTAAAACACTTTTGGAAAGAGCTACACGATTTCACACGTGCTCTTTGCAACTCATTACACTGATGAATTTACTTATAGTTTGTTTCCAGAGTACATATACTGTAATAACAGCTTGTCTGTACACAGTTTTGCCAACTGTGGAAAAATTGTGTAAGTAGGGACATGTAATATTACGACATATATATTGAGATGATTCTAGGTTAACAAATCAAACGGCCACTAGCTGAGTGGAGTAAGACAGTTCTCCTCCAAACTGTATGCATTCAGTGCCAGAGAGTTTTAATCAACAGCTTTAGTAATGAAGCAGCCCTTTTATTGTAATTAAAATGTGTGAAAGCACATGCAAATCAAACAGACATGATATACAGATATCAAGTTAAAGTTGAAAAATAAAATTCAATTAGAAAAGTGTAAAGTGCAGAAACTTGACATACCCGTACACACATAAAATTGTCAAACTCAACTGGAAAATTATGGCAATAACAGCAAAGCCAAAAGAGTGCAATTTCCTGGAAATACCCATACTGATCAAATGTATGCCTTGAATGTATTGTATGTGATTTCGGATAAAAGCGTGAATGAAAATACTTTGCATGGTTAGTACAAAATAGGATTGTCATTTTTGGGGCCCCAAGCTAATTTCGTATTTGTCTTTTTTTATTGTCACCTTTTCTGCTCAGTGTAGATAACTCTTATATTCTAGATTCTTGATCAATTTCGATTAAGTGCAAATTTGCTTCATTCTTCAAAGATCCTTAAGCTTTAAGATGAGAAGAATTTTAGAAAAACAATAGAAGCATTTTAAGTGCATAAAGAAAAAAAGTCATTGTCATACCACATTATTTCCCTTGAACTTGCATCTTGGCATTTTTCTAATTACTAAATACTAACATCACAACTATATTGTGTAATGTTTGCTCATGAGGCATTCAGAGTAATGCTGTTCTGTTTATTCAACCGACAACGTGTAACATTTTCAGCCAGAGAATTGAACAATTACAGAGAAGCGTCTGGCAGATATTAACTGTAGCTTTTAGGAGACATCTGAATACGGTGTTATCACAGCAAACACTTCACAAATGTTACAGAATAAACCACTGCCTGGAAATGTGCATATAGGGACATAATCAAGTGATATATTCAGCTTGGCAATGTTCTCCAACGTGAAAGCTCCAGCAGCACTGAATCCAGCACGTCATTCACCTCTGATGTAAATGTATGCTATGACACGTGTTTCATGACAAAAACAAGAATAATAGTAACAACCTGCAATAAACAGAAAAGTCATGGCTCATATGCACGTACACATGCAGTTTTAGTTCCTCACACACTAGAGAGGCCGTGACAAAGCATCAGGAGTGTGGAAAATGTGTTTTGCTGTTGAAAATGCAGCAATTTCTGGACCCACCTCTCTGAAATCCTCATTGGCTAATGGATGCCTGCATCAGACTGCGTTTCAGTTAAAATGATAATTTTTACAACTTTTGGTTGATTAATGGAGCGTCATATTTGCAATTCACTTAGAAATCAACTGATTCGCATAACTTTCTAAAGCAGCACTGTCTGTAGGAGGCCTCATCAGAGGTCTCGTCGTCTGTTTTTTTTTTTCAAGTGTACCAAAATTTTGAATTACGCATTGCATTGAGTTGTAGAAAATGTCTGTAAATTTAGATATGAGGAACTACTTCATCCAGCTATGCTGAATTTATTATTTTGACACAAATCACATATTGCTACTGGTACATTTATGGCAGGACATTAACCATTTTTCTCCTTTACAATGTCCTGTTTCACCTGTTTTTTGTTTTGTTTTTTCCATTAGCCAAATGATTTTATTTACATATTAATTTATCTTAATGCAGGTTAGTGAGAAACTCACCATGGCTGTAGTTAACACGGTCAATGCATCTAAACTGTGGCACATCACAAAAAAACAGATCGCACTCACCACAATCAATCATTGTGCACTGTGAGAACCAGACGTCACACTGCCTGCATTATAGATAGATTTGATTTTAATGGGTGCGATGCAGTTTTGTCACACTGCACACAAGACAATCAAACGATGACCAAAAAATTATTACATCAAATGACTTGGTGTGAACTGCCCATCTTTTCACGTTCAGCCCTAAAGTACTGGTGGCCGTGGGCCATATCCCTCAGTAATGTCCCCCGGACTCATCTCCTGCAGGAATTTGGGACTGTCATAGTCAGACGACCAGCAGAAGCCTCCAGAGTCGTCACAATTCACATCTTCTTCAGAAACCTCAGGTAGATGCACTACTGTTTCCTCAAGGATAGTGTTTTCTTTGCATTCTTTCTCATTCGGGGAAATGGGGGGAGAACCATAACTAGAAGTCTCAGCTGTCAGTAGGGGAGTGTGTCCCTGAGGTGTCATTGCAGAAATGGCGTTTGGCTCGGGTTGGGTTGTAGGAGCTTGGCCAGGTATAACATTCCGCTGCATATGGAAAGGAGCAAACGGTTAGGCACTGCTGTTGGTGCTACTAAAACTACTGAGTCAAGAGCAAGTCACCGGACACATGACAAATACAAAACTCTGCTGAATAAAGAAAAACTCCTACAGAAACAGTTCACCTGAAAATGTTCAATTCTGTCAATGTACTGATCTTCATACTGGTTCAATCATGTATGACTTTATTCTGTGGGTTGCTCTTAAAATGAAAGTGGAACTCACAGGGTATCACTATGATAGGGATATTCCCACAGATGATAAAAATGTTTGGACAAACATTAGGGTGTATACTTTTTTTGCTGAGATATGCCTATATTCGAATTTAAATGAATAAATAATAATAAATACACAATGAAAGGACCGAAAGACACATACCAAAAATTCAGGAATTTTGGGGATTTTGGACAACTTCCTGCAGAGCAGCCACACAAAGCCAATGATAATGAAGAGCATGACGGTCCCTCCGCCTAACACAGCTGCGATTAATCCCGTTCTGTCTACAGAAAAGTCAAGAACAATTCAATGAGGCATCTTCTCTAGTACTCACAAATACTATTACTGACTATTTCAGAATAAAAGTTCAGAATTTCCATGCCACTATCAAAATCAGACAGATCAAAAGTTTTCAAATAAGTTTCAAGCGCTCCCCCAAACTGCCACTGATCAGACAGATCAATTAAACAGTCCCTTTTCAGTATTGAATGAGTTATGAATGTACTTCTAGGGTAAGGTAGTTTGGTGCAGCTAGAGACACTCTTGACAGTCTTCACCAATAAAATATGCCATAACCAAAATCGATACCATAATACAAAATCTGTATCCACTGGTGTCTTAGTGGTGTCTGAAACTCATGTGCTCATTTAATCCCAAAATGCACCACAATAAAAAAAAGTGTACCTATAATGCACCATAATGGCGGTGATTTCAAACACAGCTTGTGTCAGAGCTCTCAAATGGACTCATGATGCCTGATGGCTACACTTAAGAAATAAATACTGATTCTCACACATTGCCTGCACTTAATAGCATGACAAGAAAACTGCACTGCATTACGAAACATTTCCTAAATTAAACTGATAATGTTTTTACCGGTCACGGGCATCTGCTGAGGGACACACACATTTCTGTAGGTATATGAAGGAATACCAGCAATCTTCCCTTCAAACTTCAGCTCAACACACTGTCCAGCTGTGCTTTGGTTCAGGTGGATTTCTGCAGTACACAGCTCCTCCTCCTCAAAACAAAAGTATGAAACCTTTTGCTGTGGAAGGAGAAAAGAACAGAGTGATTTTAACAATTCAACATCCTAACATGACTAACATTTAAAGAAGGACATGGAGGAGTCTGCGACTGCTTTTCCCACCTCATCATGTGTGACTGTGTACATAAATTCTTCGTTCAGAATGTTTAGCTCATGAAGAAAGAAAGGGTGCTGAAAGGACGCTTCAATCACGTCTTTGTGGACAGACGTATTTACAGCTGGAAAGTCCAAAGAGCCTGGAAAAAGCAAAAGCCAATATTGTTTAAAGTCAAAATAACAAGAAAAAAAGAAACAAGTAATCTTGTAAAAGACTAAAGCAAATGAATCCCAACACTAAAACGATATCCAAATAGATTTGCATTTCTGAAAGGAAACCGCAGCAGTGCTTGCAAGGCAGCAGAATGAGAGTTAAAGCTTTAAGGAAGCTCATTTTCTTTTAGGCTCTGGTTATTGGTAAATGAAATGCTGCCATATAAGAACGAACATGTGATGCAGTGCTTTTCTCAGTACAAGGCAGCTGTATTGTTAAATAGATGCAGTAGAGAAAGGACAAATTAAGCAGATATTAATGACATAAACACTGTCTGCTGAACACTGTTTTAATGCAACTCAATGCAAGATTTACCAAATACACCAACGGTTTGGGCTGAAAAAACTGCAGATGTTTTATTCTTAGAAAACGAGCCTTAAAATGTCTGAGAAACATCAATAGTGTTTCATCATCAACAGGGCCTTGCAAACACTGTAATAAACAGTAATACTGTTTCCATATGATTAGGTTATACACAGAGAACTTACATTTATGTTTTTTCTCATCAAAAAAGTCTTTGCTGTAGGTGAATCTAATGGAGACGCTTTCTGACTTCTCTTGCCCATCATGCGCCGTCACGTACACTAAGTAATCATCACTAACATCTCTGCTGTAGCTGCTGATATCAAGGTACGTCCGAGTCGTGTCTGGGACTGTTTGGGAATCACTAGAGATAAATGGGACAGAAAGATTAAGGAATGAGATTGTGATTAAGAAATGTCACATTTTTTGAAATAGTATTTTTTTGATCAGCTGCTTTTGACACATACCTTTCATAAGCTTCAACCCTTACACTGAATTTCAGCTGTTCAGATGGGTTACTGTAGTTCCAGTAGAGGACATTCACAAAGTTGTGACAAACAACACTGATGTTTGTTGGAGAAGGAACTGTAGGAAAAAAAGTTAGTCTATTACACAAACTCAAAGCTCATGAGAACAACAAATCCTTCCAATATTGCTCAACGGCTGCTGAAATGCCGAGGCATTTCTAAAACAGACGTCATGTTCTTCAGAGAATCTTAGACTAGATTTTGATTATTGCTCAAACACAATCACTGAATTTTGGACACACACGACTGAATCTTATTACCTAAATATAAATGTGGAAAATGAGTGTGGAAAATATATATATTAAAAATAATAATAATAAAATAGTGAAGGAAATGCAGCGTACAAGTGTCAAGCATTCAAGGAAACATGGTCAATAACCCCTAAAACCAGCCTGGACAGAGTGAGAGACCAGCTAAGATCAGTAAACCAGCTTAGACTGGAATAAGAAGTTTTTATATTTCAACGGGGTAAATACAGTAGAGCGTGTATCACGTGGCAAAGTCACGTGATCTCAGTAAAAGAGGCTTCGTTACGGCATTACCGTTTCGAAGCGTTTTGAAATTTCAATAGTTCGCCATTGGGGGCGATCTCTGTGAACCCGTGAATCATGCGAGTTCACCGTGATCGCCCCCAGTGGCAAACCACTGAACCTGATCTCGGATCAGTTTTATCAATTTGTAGACATTTTTAACAAGACATTTGTGTAATTAAAAGGATGAGTAGTAGTTAATAGTCTCTTACTGGCCTGTTTAAACAAGCTCTCCATAAAACAAACAAAACAAGCCCTTGCAAATGAATAATAATTATTTTAAAGACGCATATTATACAGACACTTCACGTTTAATGGTATTTTATTATTTATTTTGCATTCAATATATTATACTTTCAAGAAAGCATTTGCATTCAGTTTGTAAAAGCTTTTTTTTTTTTACATTTACACAGTTCTGACCAGCAGGCGTCACCAGCGTGTGGTGTTTCGAGCGCTTCGAAACAGTGAATCATTTTGCGAAGCAATTGATTCAAAGCTTCAAAATGGTTTGTTTCTCCCATCACAAAGCTATTTAAGGTGTTCAGGGCTACCAAACTACAAACAGGGGTGTTGAAGCAGAGCTGGATCTGAAGTCTGAAGGAAGGTAGCTCTTCAGGAGCAGGGTTGGAGAAACCCTGTATAAATGTATAAAGCCACTCAGAGTAAAATTTTAGTCTTAAGTGTGTGTCCAAATACTTAAGGACTTACTTACTTCTTAGACTTAAGAATAAGAGTGATTCCATAAAGTTAAGACTAGGTCTCAGGTCTTAAATTATTTAAAGTGAAGTGGAGAGGTCTCTAACCTAGTTAGGAGTAACAAGATGGCAACAAAGAGGAGGAGACACACACTTTCCAATGAAGATATGACGTATTGGAGTGTAGCGTCTGGACCAATCCAACACACTATATATTCTCTTTTTATATGACAAATACTCTGTAACCTCAGTTAACAAGCCATATGAGGACCCATGGACCCTTCCCCCCGGAATGCGTAACACCCCAGGAAGTCGAACAGGCTTCTTTGTTGCATGGCAACCAACGCTGATATCACTGGGTTTAGAAGCTATTTAAGGTGTTCAGGGCTACCAAACTACAAACAGGGGTGTTGAAGCAGAGCTGGATCTGAAGTCTGAAGGAAGGTAGCTCTTCAGGAGCAGGGTTGGAGAAACCCTGTATAAATGTATAAAGGCACTCAGAGAAAAATTTTAGTCTTAAGTGTGTGTCCAAATACTTCAGACTTACTTACTTCTTAGACTTAAGAATAAGAGTGATTCATAAAGTTAAGACTAAGTCTAAGGTCTTAAATTATTTAAAGTGAAGTGGAGAGGTCTCTAACCTAGTTAGGAGTAACAAGATGGCAACAAAGAGGAGGAGACACACACTTTCCAATGAAGATATGACGTTATATGATGATATGGAGTTGATCAAACGATACAAACTTGATTGTCAAGATAGTCAATTATTTTTGTAACAGACCAAGTAAGAAATGTGATAACTTCTTCCACTCTACAAATCAATGCTCTAACTGCAGAAAATAAAGTAGTAATTAAATTTTTTTGGGCTGGAAAATTGGAAAAAATGTAGCAATGCACTAGTGATGAGGGTCTTAAATATTGTGGCACTAACCCCACCAAACACAACAGTGGCCAAAAGTGATGTGTGGAGGTTTTTTTTTTTTATGACCCCACATTTCACTTACACCATCAAAATACAAGGGGGGAAAAAAACTAAATGTTAGTGTCGCTAAATGCTTTCAATTGAAAGCTAAAAGAGTCGCTGAATGTTACTAAATCTGTGTATCATTCGATTATTCGTTTTTTGATTTCATATTGAAAGTAGAAAAATTAGAAAACGGCTCCTTTTTCATTTTTTTTCCCTTCCAAAAATAGAAAAACGAGAATTCAGCTTAAATTTTCGTTTTTCGCTCAGGGGTAGAAAAATGAATAAACAGCTTGAATATTTGATTTCTACACGTGGGCGGGAATTAAACTTTCCAGCCAAAAAATGTTACTACTTTAATTTCTGCAGGTAGAGCATTGACTTGTAGAGTGGAAGAGGTTATTAAATTTTTTACTTGGTCGGTTACAAAAAGAATTGACTATCTTGGCGATCAAGTTTGTATGATTTTATCAACATACAACTCCAATATGTCATATCTTCGTTGGAAAGTGTGTCTCCTCCTTTTGCTGCCATCTTGTTACTCCCAACTGGGTTCACCTTTATGAATCACACTTATTCTTAAGTCTAGGAATAGAAGTAAAATTACGTCATTCTAAGAATTTTGACACTTAAGACATTACATTTTACTCTGAGCAGCTTTATACATACGGCCACTGATCTTTACGGAGTAATTACAGACAGCTCCTTAATGCTTCATTTATCCTCTGTTGTGCTTGGCCCCTTAATTGCTGCTTGCAGCTAGGGTTGTACAGATAGACGATAGTATCGTGTATCAACGATAGTCCGAGATATCGCCTTTGGCTGATACCTTTGAGATAAGACAATTATTATTATTATTATTATTATCAGGCTAGTATTCTTATCTAATTAATATTAGGGATTATTAGTTCCATCATATTTCTTTTTCTGCATTTTTACAGTGGTGCGCGTTTTAATCAATCACACACAATTCTGTTGAGTTTATGAATGCAGCGGCCAATCAGAAGCATTCAGATGAGTCATCGCTGAAACACCTGAGTTTTGTTGTTCAGTGCGTGCGCTCGCTGACTGATTTCTGCTCTCTCGCAAATTCTCTCATCATAAACAACAAAGTGCAGATGTACGTGCATTGTAAGTATAAGAGATTTATTCGTCATACAGTGTAGACAGCTTCACTGATTATAACGGGAGTGTTTTTCACAGTGAATAAACTCACGCTAGACTGAAGTCAGTGATGATGTTCTTTGATAATGTCAATGTTTTTTGCTTGTTTTCCGTAGTTGCTATTTGAATAACTGAGGAAATGTAAGCATTAGAATTAGTAACTTAAAATGTTTCTATTAAAATGTTGTTAAATACAAACTCAGTCATATTAAAAATGTTTTAAGACATGAAATCCATAATCTACTTGACTAAAAAGATATAATGTGTAGTAAATATATTACACTAATATTAGGCTGCTTTTAGCCTTACCTTGGAGTTGGTTCATTCTCTTGCTATGAATCTAAGAAAGTAAATAGGACTAATTAAATAAATTTGCATGATAATATCGTGTATCGGCAATCTATGTTGTTTATGATGATTACTCTTTGTATTGTGGGGAACAAGAAAAACAAATATCAATCAAATATCTTTTAAAAAAATCAAGCCATTAGAGCCATCAGAGCAGATGCAGATGATTTTACAGCTTTAATAGCGGCCCTAACTGGGAATTTTGAGCACTTCAAAATGTTTACCGATATAGCTTATGGAAATGCCATTAATCGATAAAATTCATCAAGTGTCAACACAATATTTTTCCGTATAACTTTTGAGAAAAATATTCTATATCAATACTTCAAATGTTGCAACAATTTGTTTGGAAACACTTTTTTTTTTGTGAAAAGGGACTTTAACGCAAATAAATGTGGTGTCACATGACAGAATTAGCCTATAGGCAGTGTTTGAGGTGTTGCTCACGATAAAGCACCATTTCTCTGTAACTTCAAAGCGCATTAAATCTATCATATTCATATTATTCAATTGTATATAAAATTATTTTGTTACTATGGTAAGAATAAGACGAGTTACCTCTCAAACATAGCCTGTTTTTTTTTTTGATTAGCCTACATATCTTACTAAGATGAAAAAGTCAAATTGCATTCTGTACACTGTAAAAAAAAAAGAAAAAAAAAAGTGGTTTCAACTTAAAGGTCACCTATTATGTCTCTTTTTACAAGATGTAATATTTTATGGCTCTCCTGAAGAGGGTGTGTTCCCTTTCATGAAAATGAGCTACAACTTCCCACCCGACTCCAGAAGGGACGGACCCTAGATGTCTCTGCTTTGCGTATGGCAATAAACAGACAGGAGAAGCAACATGAGCGAGAGTGAGAGGACCAGTATTCAGCCGTACATGTACAAACCGGACAGCAGAAGAAACAATATTAGGCTCGTTCGAGATGCATCGGCGCTGCACAGACCGATCGGCGTATGACATCAAAGTACAGCGCATAAATTCTGAATAGGTCGTTTCTCACATTCTAAAAATAATACAAATATTTTTAAAATATGAGAAACAATGAAAATAATAGGCTTTTTCAATCAGTCTGTTTTCAGTTATGCTCATATTAACCGGCTAACCTACAGTAAGAATTTTGACCAATTAATACAATCAGCAACTCTTTTAAAAAGTCATTTAAGTATTTATTAATTTCCTAAATATTTTAAAACGTTTGCTGCATGGTTAAAAGTATGCTACACATATAAAAAAAAAAATTTGGGAGACACACGGGAGTGTTTGAAAGCCACGTCTGTCAGTGGATCTCTAATATATCTGCTCATAGACTGATCCGCTGATAGACAAGGCTTTCAAACACTCCCGTGCGTATCTGTGTAAGATCGTGAAGCGATGATCATTGTAGCCAATCACAGACATATCTGTTGAGCGCGTGAACACAATGGCCAATCAGAGCTGTTTAAGAATCCGCTCAACAGCACACAAAATGCTAGCGGGAAATGCTGGCATCGTCACAATTTTTACATTTCAGTACCGACATCGGTATTTTTGACAACACTAATGGAAACAGCTCAAGGGCAATTTTTTTTTGCGATACAACAAAACTTATGCAACAAGACGTGGTTTTTATTGATGACGTCATTACGCACACCATTTTATCAGTAAAAGGCCATTTGGATGGAAACAGGCTGGAGACAGCACATTTTTTTTTACGCACATTCTCTTTGTCGATAACAAAACAGCACAAAAATGGGATGGAAACTTGGCTAATGTCCGATTTATGTAAACTATTAACTAGGGCTGGGCGATTTTTCCGATTTGATCGATTAATTCGAATTTAATGTTTTGCCACGATTTTATATTTTTTTTTAATCGAGGAATCACGATTTTGAATAGAAATATTACCAAATGTTAGAATTAGACACTTTGACAATATCCCAACGTTAACAGTAAAGAGAAAAGAATGATCCTCCCACATGTCGGTGCACGTGATTAACCGCTCACGTGCGACGCGCTCTGTGAAGGACCATAAGTAGAATACATCACCAGGTGCCATTCACACAGAATACGCTTTTGTGTTGACAAAGATGCGACGCAGTGGAACAGGACAAAATGCAGGAAGATGGGAGTTGAACTTCTTTTAACTTGAGTGCCGTGATTTCAGAATGTCGTTTCATGCATGAGATGCTGCAATAGATGCGAGCGCAACAGTCAAACGTGTCCATGTTTACATAGAAAAAACTGTGGAAAAGCAGCGCAATCTAATAAAAACCTGTAAAGAACTACTAGTGTATGTCTGAAATTTCATGTTTGCATCATGGTGACCGGTTGAAAGCTGCTGTTCATTGTTTTTACAGAACATGTAGAGACTAGCTAATAATGAGTCTACTGGTGATATACCTTCAGTAATTTTGAATTACCTTGACTTTTGAGATTTGTTTTTTATTTTTTTGAGTATTTTCCTTGTATTATTTCTTTGTATTATAATTCGGATAATTAAGTGCATCATCCGGGTATTTAAAGTGCACTTTTTCTTTTTGGAATTTTACACTATTTTACTACGAAACGTCATAGAATAGTGCATAATAGGGCTGTGCAATATATCGAAATTATCGAAATATCGCAAATGTACATATCACTACGGCTTGCAATATTTGGGGCCATGAACAAAAGACAAAGAGAAAATCACTCACTGCTCTTACCTAAATAACTTTTGTAGCTTAAATAAGAATCAGTGCATATTGAATTCAAAGAGTAAATACTAAGCTGTGTTGTATTTTTCCTTTTTATTATTCAATTCCTAAACTCGTGTTAAAATGACATTTTTATGTAGTGCTAGAGTAAAACACTACCGTTCACTTTCAGAAGTTGTTGTAGGGGTGCTTTCTTCTCACAAAATGTGAAACATGTATGCTAGTTATATTAGAATCAGAATGAGCTTTATTCACCACTTAAGTGTGCGCAAACACAAGGAGTTTGTTGTGGTTTTACAGGAGCTCTTGATACATACATACAAATAACTAGAGGTCGACCGAGAGTGGATTTTGCCGATACCGATAGCTAGGTTGGACCACACTGGCCGATACCGATTAATTAACCGATAGTTTTTAAAATGGATACTGAACAAAAACTAAAATAATGCTTTATTAAAAAAAACAGTACTGAACCGTACTAGTAGTAGTAATAATAATAATAAAAAAATTTTAATTAACACACTCTAACAAGGAACAATACTTTCATTACACAGCTTTCATTAATCGTAATGTTACAAATGGACTTTAAAGCAAAAAAATTAATTAACACACTCTAACAAGGAACAATGCTTTCATTAATCGTAATGTTACAAATGGACTTTAAAGCGTTACCGTTACCATTTCATTTCAACAGACATGCTTAAAGATGCACATCTTTAAATATATACACAAAGGCCATAGCATTAAAATCATATACATATGGATATTGTATGGCAATTCGGGACAAATATGTATTTTAATGGAAAACTATGTGAATGGCGCGGCAGGATTTTTTGTTGGCTGCATTTAAATCCGCGTCTGAAGTTTCCCGCTCTGTTCAGTATCACGTGTCTAAACAAATAGCACGTGCTGTCAGTGATTTCAACCACTAGAGGCCGCTCTCGTACTGTATAATGACAGCAGACCCTTCTCAGCCGTTCCAGCAACGGATGCAACCCGGAAAACTATCGGCATGAATTTTTGCCGATAACGATAGTTCTAGCAAAAAACTATCGGTGCCGATTAATCGGCAAAACCAATACATCGGTCAACCTCTACAAATAACCACATATATATGACAAGATAGTTATAGAAGTTCACAGAACTGACTCGGCAACAGCTGAGTAAAACGGTTTCATCTGAGCATGTGGCACTTTAAGCATTATCGTATCGCATATCGAATTATTTAATGAGTTATCGCATGTCACATTTTTCTTCAATATCGCACAGCCCTAGTGTATAAGTATGCAATTTGGGACGCACCTTTAGATTTCACTCGCCAGTGTTTGAGTTAGAAGCTAGCTATAATTTTAACACCGATATTTGCCTTCGCTCATTTTGAAAACTGCACACTTAAGAGTTTCGCTCTCCATTTTAAAAGTGCACTATTTGAATTCATCTCAATGGATGCACGGCGTAGGCCTATTTGACACACTGTAAACTCCGTAAACGTAGCTGAGAGCGCTAAGTGTTTCTTTCACCCAGGCAAAGAGAGGGAGAGCAAGACGGTCTTACTTACTACGTAGAATCGATGCACTACATGTAAATGATATTCTTTGTTGTGTTTTCCTGTCAAATTAGTGGAGTTTATTTGGAATTATTCAGCCTTTAAGAACAAGCAGAAGCTTAAAATAGCACAAGCTTAAAATAGATCTCAATTAATTCATGTGCATCCATGCTCTTGCTCTTGTTTTCGTCGTTGTAAGATGGCAGAAGTGAAACTGAAAAAAAAAAAGTTTCTCGTGCTCATGCAAAGATTTCTGGTGCGCATGCGAAAGTCTGTGTATTTTTTATTTTTGCAAACGTCCCTTTAGGGGCTCCATAGAAAATCAGCCGTTGCTTTGTTTGCTGTTTGTTTTGCTTGATTCTTATTTTGATTTTAACCCGAGAGTGACAGAGTAACACCTCCACGAACACTGACGAACAAGGTTTAAGGCCACACTGATTTGCAACTGTAACCACGTGTGATCAGTGACGTTTTCACACCTGCTCAGAACAGACCTAACTGTGGTTTCACTGAGACAAAAGTGTGAAAATAAAACCCTACTGTACTTTAAATAAACAACTCAACCTGGCCAGAACATTTCAGTGTGTGACTGGCTGAACGCAACAAGAATAGAGAAGGGAAACAGAGAAAACACGTGAAGGAATGAAAAGAACAACAGGAAGGAAGCGAAAGAGAGGTTTAACACGCAAACACAGAAGGAAACCATATGAACAAGAATTAGAATTCTAGACCTAAACATTCATTCATTCATTCATTATAGAGACAAACTGCAAACTGATACTAATGACTTCAATAAAGATATGATATCTGCTAAAGTCAAACCTAAAGTGAGTGGGAATCTAATGTGATGATCTGCCGTTAGAGCAAGAGAAAAGCAAGATCCTGCAGGTAAAACATCAGTTACATTATAACGTCTAACAGATCCTTCTATATTCAGACACAGAAATACTAAGGTTTTTAATCATATACATATATTTGAATGTAGCCTATATGGTGTACAGATATGTTGACACAGTAAATAATACAGTCTTTGTTTTTGCGCAAAAGAGGAGAAAGAACATTTTTGTTACATTACAAATCAAGTTCCTGGGATCTTTGGCTCTCTCGCGCCTGAAAACAACAGCAACAGAAATGAAGAGGAACTGTAACTGTTAGCCCACAGGCCTACGCCTATACACACTTACAGGCTCCTGCTACAGAGGGCCCTATACGAGTTCTCCAAATAAGTGTGTTTAATCAGCCAAATGTGAACTAGTTTGAATCCCAAGGGATTTGACATTTAAATGTTTAGATTAAACTAAAAAAAAACAGACTAGACGATCAAATAGCCTATTCATATAATAGCATACTCTCTACAAAAACAAATACAAAAATATTTCCAGGCAAATAATTGTAAAACGCGCTATTTCCAGGATTTTCCATAATCGTGCCTGGGAACCCAAACAGGCCTGCTATCAGCAACTATCTGCGCATTTAAATAATACAGAAGGAGCGATTTTAGAACAATGCACTATTTAGAACGTCATTTATTTTAATGTTACATAAACGCACGCTTCACATCTTGTGGATACACACGATCGGACGGATACACTGATGCATCGATACAACACAACGATGTGCCACCGTTAGTATAGCACGAGAGGCTTCAGCAATACTCACCAAAACCAATGACCCCTGCGAACAGTAATGCATAAAACACCCCGCACGGGACTACAGCACGCTTCGACATTGTGATAACCCGGGTTTCTTAAACGTCGCAGGGATGTGTTTCCTAAACCCTAACAACATTTCCTGAGATCGGCTTTATGTTCATGTCTCTACGTGTTCTCACTGGACTCTGACAGGGTTGCCAAATATTCCGCCTGAGACAGCAACAAGGCGATCGGTTCGGGCTTTAATACATTATAAACTATATGCTTTATTTTTTTATTTGATTGTAAAAATCTTTTCTTTTCTTTTTTTTTAATCTAAAATATGAATTCGCCTGACATGGTGGAACGTTGTATTTTAATATTTGCTATTTTGAAGAAATCTGGCAACCCGCTAAGATAAAACATCCGGTGCTTTCCGCCTTGATGAATAATAATACATTACAAAGTACCATATCAGCCCCCAAGCAAAAAGCTCTCATGAAAGTCAGCTTACCTGAACGCTTGGTAACACAGCAAACAGAATACACATAAGCCATTATATTAGTAGAGGGTCTGCATGGGGCTTTAACTGTGGTAATCATTTCTCAGTGTGGTCAGTTATTTTTAAAAGTCATGTTTAGTTTAAAACATCTATCAAACATCTACACTGTTATTGCCAAGGAAAAGTTTATTTAACACACATTCATCCAATAGCCTGCAATGTTGTCACATAGGCTATACAGTGTGGTTAGGTAGCAGTATACTTGCTGTTTGTTGACACTGATTTGAGAAGAAATTACAATCTTTAAAACACACGTGACAACTTGCCCCAACCTTACATTTATATATATATATATATATAACTAAATTACATGCCTAGAACGGAAAACCTGTACTAAGTAGCCTAATTGAAGGAACTTTCTCCTGGGATTTGCACAGGTGTACAATGGTGATATTGGATGTCAATAATTCTTAAGAATAACTTACAGGTCTGACACATCTATATTCTACATACAGTAAGCGTTCTTTATAATGCTTCAGTAGCTTTCTCAAGTTATTTTGATTAAGCTGTATGATTCAGTCACTCTCAGAACAAAAGGTACAAAAGCTGTCACTGGGGCGGCACTTTTCAAAAGGCACACCTTTGTACCTAAACAGTTCATATTGGTGCCTTAAAGATACATATAAGTACCTAACAGTGTACATATTAGTACCCAAAAGTGTACCTTTTGAAAAGGTAACGCCCCGGTGACAGCTTTTGTTCTGAGAGTGTTCAATAATTTATATATATATATCGCTTAAATATTGCAGGAGAAGCCATAGGATCAGTTTGGAAAATATAGATATTGCAAGCAACAGTGAGAAAATGCTCCGTGATGACGAGAGGGGTACATCACTGCATTTCCACCACCTTTACTGTGCCCCTTGAAGTGTACAAGTCGACTTCCTCTCCAATTTCAGAAAACATGCAGAACAACCACAGAAATGTGCACTTTAGCAGTTTTTTTCAACACAGCATGTCAGGCAGTTTAACCACATCTATTGTGCAAGCGAAACCTTTTTTAGACAGGAACTTATTTTAAGCTTGTGCTAGGTATAGTTCACCCAAAAATGAAAATTTTGTTGTAATTTGTACTCGCCCTCAAGTTGTAAATGTGGTGAGAGGAGGAAGAAGTCTGTATATTTTTCATGCTTTCCAAAACAAAATCAGATAAATTGTAACATTTTTTACGATGGCAAGTTCTCAAATATGTTTGAAATGTTAAATGTATGCAATTTATTAAATGGTTTTAACGATATACCCTAGAGTGACAACACACATGTCAGCATGTTTAATGAACTGCATATTGTTTCTGAACAATAATGTAATTCAATAACAAACTTGCCCGTGTCTCCTTGTTGCTTCTGCTGAATTACTTGAACTGCTCCTCCCGTACACTGAAATAAGGAGGATTCATGGCACCTCCTTTGGTCATTTAATGTATTACACTAAAAAAAAAAGGAAAAATTTGTGAATCATTGCATGATTCATAGATGAGTCATTAGGTTATAAGTAGTTCTGTCAAAATGAAACTTGTTGATAGTCAAGATTATAGTTTCAAATCTACATAAATATTATGTTTTAGGTCTTGTAATTGTAATTAAGAGTTTTACATTTTTCACTTTTTTAATCACATCCTTGCTACGTGTTTTACATGCAGTGTTGGGGAAAGTTACTTTTAAAAGTAATGCATTACAATATTGCATTTCTTCCTAAAAAAAGTAACTAATTACGTTACTTAGTTACTTTTGTGTTACTTTTTAAATCTGGGCTGCACTGTAAAAAAACAAATCTGTAGTTTTTACAAAATAATTTTGGCAGCGGTGGTTGCCAGAATAATTTTGTATAAAAAATACAGAAAAACTAAACACATTTACAGCCCAAAATTGTAAATTGTACAGTATAAAACTGATTTGAAAAAAAACAAGAACATTTGAATGTAAACCAGTAAATTCAACAACGCACTCTGCTATTAAAATCTGTTTTGTACCTTTAACATACTGACAACCACCATAATAATGCAGGTGGTAAAAGAGAAAGCCACATGAAGAATCAAAGCTCATCACAAGCAGCTTCACCACAAGCAGAAGTATATACTAATATATAGAAGGTCATTAATACAAACAGAAAACACCATCATGGTAACACACATGATACTTAAATAATGCAATAGACTTTCATTAAACAACAGAAGATGTAACATAAAGACCAAATGTACATAACTAATAACAAACTATTAAAAAACATGATTATTTAAACAAAATACTTTCAAATGTGGAGCGTCACGCAGGGAATTCTGGGAATATCAGTTTACAGTTTTTTACTGTAAATTATACATTGATTTGTTCATTTTTACTTCTAAAAACTGTACAATTAACAGCATTTTACTGTAAAATTACATGAAATGTCTGGTTAGATCTTTTACAGTTTTTCCCTGTATATAGTACGGGAACTTTTTTACGGTAATTCACTGTAAATTATACGGTCTTTTTCACTTCCAAAAACGGTATACTACCGTAAAATTAATGTCCTATACATGTAATGTCCAATACAGTTTGTCACCATATATAGTAGGGAAATTTACTGTTAACCTATTAAAAAAATTTTTCACGTAGCGTTTCTACAAAATTTTACAGTTTAAATTACACTTATTTTTACAGTGTGCACTGTAAAAAATTACCGTGAATTTAACGGTAAAAGACTGTAAAAATGCTACAGTAAAAACCTGTTAAATGGTTAACGGTAAATTTCCCTACTATATACGGTGAAAAACTGTATTGGACATAAATTTTACGGTAGTATACCGTTTTTGGAAGTGAAAAATACCGTATCATTTACAGTGAATAACCATAAATTGACATTCCCAGAATTCTCTGCGTTACATTTCAAATTTGATGTTTTTTTGTTAGTTTTTTCTTATCAGTTTTGTATATTAGGGTTGTGTGTTACATCTAATGTTGTTAATTGAATGTTTATTGCATTATTTCAGTTTCATGTGTGTTACCGTGATGGTGTTTAGTGTTTGTGTGAATGACACTGTGCACCTTCTATATATGTTAATATATAAAAGCTGCTTGTGATGGGCTTTGGTTCATCATGTGACTTTCTCATCACCACCTGCATTTGGTGGTTATCAGTGTATTACAAAGGTACAAAACAGATTTCACTACTTCAGTAGGTTGGTATATTAACATTATATCAGTTGATGAAATTACGGTATTTAACTGTAAATTTAAGTTAAAACCGTAAAACCTAAAACGTTGCTACCGTATTTTTTACGGTAAAATTCCGGTAACCACAGCTGCCGGGTTTTTACCGTAAATTTTACGGATTTTTTTTTACAGTGTA